TCATAGGTTCACTTGCATTTTAACTTGCATTATCTGTTTTAAAACAGTCAATCAATTGCTAAGAAAAAGATATAATTATGATAAATAAAAATGGACCACTGCATCCAATTACCCTTAGTTAACAAAAGTAAACCATAATAATACTAAATAAGATTATTCAGTCTTAAAAGTTATGTATGTACAGTATACTATTCTAAAATCACATATATTTTTGTCAGTTTTTCAAAAAGATTTTTTTTTCTAATGAAAGTGTTGAAGCACTTTCCTATTCAAGAATAAATCCAATATTTTCTTATTTACATTGCCAAACCCAGTTTGAGGAATTCAGTACGTTTAAATCTTACACCAGTCTTCAACATTAAACATTTCACATGAGATGATTCTAGTATTAGTGCAATACATCTTCTCATTTGCTATGATATAAGTAAGCACCCTCATTTTTACAGGAAGAATTATTCAACCTTCTGACTATTGCAATTCATCAAAAAGCTCTGAGCAGAAGTTTACAACTGCTGGAACTACTATGAACATCTGGATATTATATTTCAAAGAATATGTAGAGCTTCAACAGTTGCAAATTCTCTGCACTACTTTACAGCAGATAGAGTTGAACTTTTTCAAAGATCAGAGAAATTTCATATGCATTCTCCAATTCACAAAAATATCCCAAAGATAACTCAGCTAATACATGTAGAAACAGATGTACCAAGATATTGATTTCTGAATCAGATCATGCACTAATAACACAATACTTTTCACACAGAAAATAAGATTAAAAATTAAAGAGTTGGAACATATAAATAACTGACTGATTTGCCCGGAAGCAAATCTTGAAAGAAACAAAACTGTGCCAACTGTATGCTTCCTGTTTCTGTCTCCAGTTCAAACATTTCTGTCTTATAAACAGACATTACTGCACTTAATAATAGGCTGTTAGTGGGCAAATTCGTTCTCTGCTGGTATTAAGTGGCAATGTACTTATAGTATGTACACTGTCAGCTGGAACCAAGCCATTCAATCCTTTTTCTGTGTATACAGAAAAAAAAGTATTTCCAAAATTGATGTATCCATAACTTAACTATTGTAGACATTATTTCTGCATTCCATGTATGTATGCATGCATGTCTGTAACTTTTAAAAAAATAATACAAGGTATTTAAGAAAAAAAAAGAGTATACTTAATTACAAAACCTTAAATTGCAAAGCATTGTTTAGTAAAATAAAAAATTGTAAATAAGCATCCTTGCCAATTCTCTCCAAGGCCTAATACTTAAACTGCAGGTTATTAATTACATAAAAGTGAATATCTATATAGTACGTCTATGTGTATTCATTCAATAGAAATAGGGATAGTAAATAAGTGAAAATGAAAGCTTAATGTAGGTAATATATACTCGGGGGAGACTTATTAAATAATGCTAATTTAAATGTATTATCACTGTAATGTAATGATCTATAACCTAAGGCCATCTAACATGCTGTAGCATGTAAGATTGTATGTGGTTTTTCATATGTAATAATTTAACACATCCTGTTTTGCTAGATAGCCTACATGAAGTGGGAGGCTTCCTTACTTCTCATTTTTGTTGTGTAAATTATACAAATTAAATAAAATATAACCTTGGAATAACTAATTCAATTGATATTTAGGAAAAGAAAAAAACTAGAAAGGATATAGGCTTTGCTATAAATTATATTAATATATATTTTGCTATAATTTACATTAATATATGTAAACCTTCTAAAAATAGCTAAAATAACTGGTTCCTACTAAAGAAATGGCATAAAATGATATTAAAAATTACTTTCTCAATTCTGTACCTTGCTCCATTCATGTTCATTGCCTAAAATGGAGTTCCACACTCGGCTATTACATCTCAGTTCATATTTACACTTCCTTGACTGCCTCATTAACAGCTATTCCACCTAATTATTAAATAACTTGGTGGAAGTAAGGGAAAGATTCAACAGAAAAAAAAAAGTGATAGTTAGATACAGTATGTAAACTTCTCCATTTATCAAAATGAAGTGTGTACCAGATCAGTAGAAGCATTAATCTCTCTCAATTAGTGTCAACCACATATAAACAAATTCCAAAATTTTTGAATGTACCTACCATATATGGAAAAACATTATTTTCAACATCTGAATGCTTTGCAAATGGCTGACAGGTATTAGGTACAGTATTTGTTACTAATATTGAATCACACACATGTTGATATATAGTTTGTTTACTGGTGAGTGCTAAATCTTTCCTCTTCATTCTGTCTTCTATCAAAATGTGTGGATGCATATCAGGTGAAAACTGATAAAAAGTTGGTAAACTTTTAGAGAAAATATTTTACATATCAATGAAATTTACCATATGTTTGAGTAATGCTGGATTTGGGGTTAAATGGCCTTTGTTATGAACAAAAGTACTGTTAAGACTTCATCTCCTCATTTTATTGAAGTGTACAAAGGACTTCTAAACAAATAGAATGTAGCTTTCAGAAACAAAGCAATTATTGCTGATAATACTGAACCTTTACTAGAGCTGCAGTAAAATTCTAAAATTATTATCAGTGAGATTTGTCAGTATGAGAAGAATGTTGAAATGTTTACCATCTTTTGGAAGGACTATTATTTTGGTTTCTGACAATGAATTATTTAATTATGTGAATAAAGAGTGAAGTATTGGGGAGGGGGAATCAGCAGTATTTTTTTTCAATGCCAGTTGTTTGCTTAATTTATTAATGAATAGTACAGTTTCAGCCTCTGACAGATATATGCCACTCTCATCTTTAACATCATCAGACATTGTAGCTGCCAATCTCTCCACTTTTACACATACCCCAACCTTTAATAATATTCCACAAACCCTGACTGCCTCACTAGAATGTAGCTACTTCAGATATGAACTTCCTACATAATTAAAATCTCAACCTCACTCTTAGCTGGCACCAGCATAGCCTTTTTCTATAAATGCTGAGGGAAGTGCTTAAATATACTAGCAGGAAGGCTAGGAATAACATGAATTAACATAAATTGTTGTGTAAACCAGGGCTGGAATACTAGGCTTCTCCTTGGAATAAAACTGTATCCCAAATCCTGCATATAACATAATACCCCTTCTCCCACCCCCACCCCAAAAAAACACCCACAAAGAACAAGAAGGGACAATTAATAGTGTGAATGACAGGGCTTAGGTCAAATTCCCTTTTAAACCCCAAAGGTGGGATGAAAAGGTGTGATTTTCATTGCTTTCCTAAAGGTTAGGATAGAGGAGGCATGCTATCTATAAGACAGGGGCAGCCATACAAAAGACCTGGTTCCTCACTTCCATCCCTATAGCTTCCTGAGGAGTAGGAACATGGAGCAACTCTTCCTGATTTGAATTCACAGGGTGGGCAAATTCTATTTGGAGCAGACAGTTCCAAGGTAACCAGAATTCCAACCCCACCAACATTTTGAATTAGAATATCCATTCAAAGAATGGGGTAAGAAAATCTTTATACAATGTAGGCTTAAGTATATGGGATACAAAAGGTAACTGAAAGATAATGTATGTTGGCCAACAGTTTCATCATACAAGTAAAGGAGTTTATCCACACCAACAGAAAAGCATTATTGAACCAAACCAAAGAATTCTCTTTTATCAACTGAATGCCAGTGCTTCTGGGAAGCAAGACCCCTTGCTCCCCACCTTCACATCTCAGTATGTGTGTAGTTGTTGAGTTTACACATATCTACAGACCGGAGTTTGCAGATGAATAAATAATATTAACAATCTCTTTAAGAAGTCTATGTTGCAATCCTACAAGGATATATTTGGCAACAAAGCTCACTGGGCATAGCGGTATTATTCCAAGGAAGCATAACAGCATTTTATTCTTTTACTGTACTTCAATCTTTCATTTGACAGATGCCCTCAGAAAGTACAAATGCCTCTCCATTGGGGAGCATACTCAAAATTTATAAACCAAAAGTGCCCCCAACAATAACAGATAAAAGAATCAAAACAGGGAAACAGAGTTAAATGCAGCAAACACAGTTAAATGCAGCAAGCATTAATGAAGACTTTTCTTCAGCTCCAACTTGTGTCTTCTGAAAGTTGGGTGGGTTTGGACAAATGATAGAAAAGAGCACTCAGGATTGAATATCACCATTGAGCAGTCTTGTTGTACATTCCCATGAGTTACAGAAGGTGAAAGACTATCAGCCTTTTCTTTAGCTGAGATCACATTCACATGACACACTGAACCACAAAAGCAGTCCATGATATTAATTTGGGTTATGTATCATATACAGCTCAGTTTAACAATGGATAAGTGTGTTACGTGAACAGTCTGATTCAGATGATGATTATGAAAGTGGCCCTTCTGTGCAGTGGAATGTCATCCTTTCTTTTTATGTCCAAACTCAGCTGAAGTATGTTTTATTTATTATCATTTATTTTAATTAACTTGGATGCTGCCCAATGTAGGGCAGTCTGGTGACCTACAGTGGGATAACCATGACAATCCCCACTGAGCCTCTGGCAGGGAGGCGCTGGAAGCCAGGGACCTCCCACAAAGGGCCCTTCTCCGACGCCTGAACCGGTGCGAGCGCCCCGCCGCATCGGATCAAAGGCCCATCTCGTCGACCATCCTGCCTCCCACAGGAGCGAGCGGGCCAGATGCCTCTGGGAAGCTGCTGGCAAGGAGGACCGGAGCGAAACAGAAATAGCGCTCGCCCACTCCAGCTTCCCAGCCCGGGTATCCTGTTGCCTAAAACCCATGCATAGCTCTACCCGCTTTGAAAGCCGGCCAGGTCTTCGTGCAACCCGCCCTTCCCCGGGGTTCCCTCAGCGGCAGAGAGAGAGTCCCCCACGCCGCCGCGCCTGGGCTCTCGTTCTTTTCCCCTCAGCCCCTGGAGATCAGCTCCTCCACTTTCCCCACAGAGCTGCCGCCTTCCCTTCTCGCCCTGTTGCCCCACACGGCAGCCCACGCGCTCGTCAGGCACCGTCCCCTCAGTCTCACCGTCCAGGGTCGTCCCTGGGTGCAGCGGCCGCAGCGCCTCGGCGAAGAGGAAGAAACGGAGCGACGGTCGCCGCACGGAGCAGTTCGCGAGTGCTAAATGC